TCGACATGCCTGACTACGTCCCGAGACGAAACCTCACGAAAACTTGAGAAAACAAGAGAAAGAAACGAAGAATCGAGCTGTAACACAACGCGTCGTACACCAACTTGTGCGAAAGTGCAACTACTTATATATTGAGACTTCTGTAAATAGAATTTATCTTCAGCATTTCGTACACGCACGATAGGACATTTCTAATCGATAGGTGTCCTAATCTTTGCTTAAAAATCTTTCACATTGTTAGATTACAACTGTCTAAGAAATCCTTATGATGATTTCGTAGTCTTCGATTTTTTTAATGCAATAAATATTAAAGGTCTATTCGAATCAAACGCTGGTCGTCTTGTGCAAAATAATTGAACGTAACGTCACAAAAATAAAATTACATTAAATCTGAACATATCATATATTTTAACGTTTAATCTGGCTATCCACAGTAGTTATAAAAATAAAACAAAATACACAATTGTCACTTGTAAATCCGCCAAATTCACGCATTTCATTCCATCAACCAGCTATCTCAACAATTTCAAATTTTTTATTTTATACAACCTTCTCCTCAAGATACAATATAATAACGATTTGTGAAGATGAAAAAACATTATTAACACTAATTATAAGAGGAAAAACAAGAAAGTACATAAAAAATTAAAAAAATTTTTATGAAAACATTTTTACGATAATAAAACAGAATTCGGAAAAGAAATTGTCACATCTTGAATATCATTTTAACAATTTCTTATTTATTTCGTTCAACAAATCCATTCATATTAATCAACGAACATTATATGAAAAGAATGGCGAAAAGAATACTTTTAAAAAAAGTACGATTGATGGCTATTGGCTCTGCTTTGAATACGTTCCATCTTACGCTGCACTGCATCCGCTTTTAGTAGTCGTATGCGCGTACAATCCGCCTGCATTTGATCACGAATTAAAGGGAAATCGAGATCGCTGATCTCGAACGTCCCGCTCGGATTATATAGCAGATATAGCTGTACAAAGAGGCGCATTCCCAGAACGCTTTTAAGTTGAGCTGAGCAGAAAATGGTGGATCTTCGTGACGGCGACGAAAGCCACTGAAAGCTCGCTTACGTTGCTTACCGCCCGGCAAATTGTGCTTGAAGATGTTTTATGTACCTTCTAGCTCTCCGTCGTAAGCTTGCACTCTCCCTTTTTCTCTTGTCGGATATTCCTGTAGGATGTAAAGGAAACAAGCAAAAAGTTTGGAGAGGAGTACACGAGAGAGATCCTGCCCCGTCTCATTCCTTTCGCTATTCGTACGCGCTGATTTCTAAGCTGGCGCAACATTGTGAGCGCCGTCCTTTCTTGCTTCGTAATTTCTCTTGCCTGCGGTAGGAAGAGCGAGGTTCTTGCGCTTGGGAATTGTGGGACGAATTTGGTTATCTCGCTGCAGATTGCGTCGATTGTTCTTAGTGACATGTCGTGTGAAAATTTTAGTCTAATTTTAGATAGTTTGACTTCGACGATAAGACGATTAAAAGCTATGTACTTGCAGAAGAGTCTATCTTCAACTTTCGAAAAGATGCATATGACGGGGCGCTTAATTGTATGAGTAAAATAGTGTACAATGTAAACTTGAATATAAAATCCTTTACAAATTAAATTAAATTTATTAAACATATGTGTTAACTAATTATATTATCATTAATTATTTTTTTTTATTTTTTTTTTATTTTTTTATTAAAACAAATACTGTAAGAATTATTGTTTTACATAAAGTACAAATTTTTATTGTCAATAAAATACTTTTTCTCTTTTATCTTTCTAATAATTACAAAAAACCATTAAGAGAGAAGAAGGTGACACTGTCTACCGTTCTAATTTAATCGCGCATGCCTCTTATATTTACATGCTGTAATCAGTTATATTATTGCCATTAGAATAACTTAATTTAATTAATTTAATTAAGCATCATTAGCACACACAATACAATTATAAATAATTTAATGCTGAATGTAACCCATTTATCATACTATCACTGTGTAATAATATGTAATGACACTGTGTAATGACATGATGACACATAATCGAGCACATAATATTCCTACTCTCGTAATCTCGGTTGCAAGTCAAGAGTTCGGAATTATAAAATTTTCATGGCTAAGTTACAAAGGATTCTGATCCCCAGGGGTCAAACGTATAAGAGCCGTAGGATATTTAATTTTTCCTGACGGAGATACACTATAGATATAAAAAGAAAGAACGAAACAATGGAGGAGATAGGAGAGAGAGAGAGAGAGAGAGAGATATGAACAATAAAATAGATGTACATACAGGGATACGCGAGCGTATTTTTATTTCATACTTAACAGCTTTCTATTTCTTGCTTTGTGTCTCTTAACGGAAAAATTACGATCGGCTTTCGGGATACTGTCGATTTTAAATAATGTTCGTTACAACGTTCTTAAACTTAGAAATTTCTGAAACTTAGAAATATTAAAATTTAATATCATTGAGGTATTAATTGACAATTTCTGCAGACAAGATAGATTTTATAATTTCTAATTCAATATTCTTTGAGAAACTTACCTATCAATATCTTATGTCAGTTACTTTGTAAACTGTAACATTATTTATTTGTGTGTGTGAATTTTATACAAATTAATAAAAAATAAAATCTACTAATTATAAAAAAAAAAATAATTAATCAAATATAATTTTTATGATAGTTACAAAATGCAAAATTTGCAGTACTCATTTGACAATTTTTTTTAGTTACACATAACATTTAGTTACATAAATATAGCTTTTATTGCAAATTAGGGAATATTTATAGTGTTATGTCAATTAGATTGAAACGTATTATATATACGTATTTTATACATATGTATTTCAATAAAAGATAAGATATTATCTGATGATATTTCTGATGATGTATCATACAGACATATATAAGAATATTTTGTGAAGAATTGACATGCAATGATAAAATTGTGAATCTCCTTTTCCAAGCAATAGATTCCAAAGCGGCTCAACAGCAATAATAGAAAATGGGATAAGTTTGATTCTTATATATAGCATATTGGTCGACCCTTATCAACTGCTTAATAGAATCCAGAATTTCAGAATTTCAGATTTCGCTTATCTAATTTTACGTAGAAGAGAGGATCATTCTAAAATCGAAGTGATTTTCAAAAGGATGCGCTGGAGAATAATTAATGAATGGGATGAGAGCATCCTCTATTCGGAAAGAACATACGTTTAATAATCTACCGCGCGCCGCTGCTATAAAGGCTGGAAGCGAATCGGAAAGGACGTCAAGGACATCTTGTAGGTGTGCCAGTCAGAGGCACGTACTTCTATAATTGTTAGGGTGGCTCGAAGAGACAACCTTTAACGGCCGTCTCAAATACTACCCCTGTGAGCATGGGGAGACTTAATGCGTTTTTCCAATCCGACCATTATACGTGTGCCATTGCTATCGATTAAACAGTACCGATATGTTACGTCAGCCCGAAGCGTTTGGAGGGATTCGAGCAATTCAATAAAATGATTCGTCACGATCGTCTGACGAAATTTCCCTCGAATTGGGGAGACTTTTATTTTATATTAAATTCAAATATGATATTACTTTAAGAGAGAATCGTCGTACAATTTACGATTGAATGAAATAAAGATTGAAATCGTTCAGTAATTTATGTAATAATACATAATTTTATTTGATACGTTAGAAATGAATAAAACAACTATTAAATTAAGAAATTTTATTTGTTAATAAATAGAAAATAGATTTTTTTATAAAATTAAAACATCCTTAATAGAGCAATTTAAAACCGAAAAATCATTTCAGCGCACGACTACATATGTAGTATATAAATTCACACAAGAACCATACATTTACATGAGGCATTTAAGATTCAGTTAAGCCGTTTGAGGCTTTGATTTTCTATAGTTTGTATTATCACATATACGATCCTATAATGCATTATAGAGCAATTTAAATCTTAGTAAAATATCTGAAATATATATAGCTCTTATCTCTTGATATTACCGCGATTATAACATGTTAATCCACAAAATCCGAAAGGTTAAACCGCGGAAACCGTTTATTATCGTGCTTAATAGGCGATGTTGTAAACCACGAAAATGTAATACCTCATTTGTAATGCCATACACGCTGACATGCACCAAGCTGCGACAAATTTCAGATTACACTGCAATTTTGATGTAACGGTGTGGTAATTCAGTTATTATCACAGGTAACGTGCTTGATCGATCAACAATTGACGATGCAATCGATCGAATGGAATATTTATTGCGACACGGACTGACAATATTTAACGTTTGCGCGGACGAAACGTTACACATTACGCGTGTTTGTGCTGGAAGCATTATAACAATGGATCGAACCGATCGTGCACGCATTACATGCCTATGCGGTCACGGAAGTTATTGTTAAATTCGAAATATTTTCTACGACAGACTGACAGCTAAACTGACCGGAAATGGATGTTGCTTTTTAAATTGACTCGGACAGCAGTAGGAGTTAATGACGGACGACATAATTGATCAAATAAATGGATAGTTGGATACCGATTAACCAAGAGTCGATTAATCGCGCTATCGACTAATTGCCGTCATCTGATGAATTGAGGGAGACTAGATTCGATCGCTCTTCTCCTGCCACTCTATTTCGATTACAAAACATATCTCTCTAAAATATCTAATCGTCTAATGTAATAGTGTAATAATGTAAAGTAATATCTATGATTAAAATTGAATTATGGCAGGAAATATATCTATGGCAGGAAAATCCTATCAAATTTTTTAAATATAAGAAGTTAAAAATTTTCTTAAAGAACGTAGCTTATTTAAAGCCTTTCCTTGACATTAAACGTAACTTGTTGCAACTGTAATACGATAATATTTTCCTAAAACAATGAAAGTGCAATTGCAATAATCGCATCAATTATTCAGAGCAAATCGATGGTCGGTACTCGAGCGGATAGAGTTTAATTGGGTATTTACTTTGCTTGTAGATCTCTTGGATACGTAAGAGGGATTTGCATATCCTGACGTCATCGATCCTCGCTTACACGGGGGACGCAAGATTTTCCGTTAAGCATCCCGAATCATCCGACGAATGGACGCTGAGGATCGAGTACATTCAACCACGGGACGCTGGGATTTATGAATGCCAGGTTAACACCGAGCCCAAAATGAACTTAGCCTTCGTGTTAAAAGTCGAAGGTAAAATCAAGATCATAAAGTCTTTAGAAATTCATTCAGATAACCCTTTTACGGATCGCTTAATTCGGAAAAAATGTACATTTTCCAAATAAGTTTTATTACGAGACAAGAGAAGACAAAGAAAAAGATAGAAAGAAAAGAAAAAAAAACTCAATTATATTTAAATATATAATATATTAAACGTAGATTTGTAAATTTTTAATTTTTCTAACATTATGTAGTGTTCATAATATATTTACAATATTATATGCATTATATTGTACCTTATAAATGTGAATAGGTATTTTATTATAATTCATTTTTCACTACATTGTATTAAATTCATAACTTTTAAATTAGCTTTTATTTATTTTAATTAATAAAGCGAAAAACTGTAAAAGGGTTAAGCTAGATCCCGTAATAACTTTATATATTGTAAATATATTTTACGTAATTTTACGATAGGTGAAAGAATATCTGAACGCTTTCATAAGTGTCTATCACCTGATTGATCAGGAATGACACTGCTGGATAACTCGAATACGCACCAGCATGACCAAAGTGATTAATGCTTCCGCTTGCATGTCTGTCACGTGAGGAACATCCTAAAGTATCGATTAGCTTTGTTGCATCTATTTCTCTGATCGAGTGATGGCATAATACTACAGTTACTTTAATTATTACCAGCGCACAGTATCGATTTCGTCTTTCAATACGTAAAGCACCTATATATATGTATGTATATATAATAACTTAATACAAAATTAATAAAATATTTCGACAATTAGAATTTATCTGACAAAAGGATTCGACACGTTTTCTGGGAACGAAATAAATTACAGGCTCCATTGTATAAATATTAATATCTACAGGATATTCAAATATTCAAAAAATGTTGAAAAATAATAACATGTAATTTTATTTGCTCATCAATTAATTCGCTTTGATAATTCATTTATTGCATAAATCCAAGAGATTTTAAATAGGAAAGAGAATTTATTGAATCGTTATAGTTTCCGTATTATAGTAGATTAAATAATTTTGAAAAATATTAAATTAAAAAAATCTCAACTATCTTAATTTACATGCATAAAAGCAAAGGATAAAAAGAACAAAACTTTGAGGAATATCCTTTGATAGAACCAACATTGAGAAATATTCTTTATATTCGATATTTTACAGGCATACGTGATCCATATATGTATACTGATAGTGCTTTCAACATTAGTTCAATTCCTAACCCCCGAAGCAATAGGTATTGACGAAATCGATTAACTCGATATCTTTTCTGTCCTCCCATTCCAGAAAGTGCCCCTGTCCCTGCCATCACCACACCAAACGCCATTCACCGGACGTTCAACTCAGGTTAGACTCACGCAGAGAGCAGACTCCTTTTCCAAGCTATTGAATGTGCTAGCTGTTAGAAGTATTATTCGCAATTTAGTTACGTGCAGTAACAATGCATGAACGTTTTTTGTATATTTATGGCCAAGCCGCCACTGACGGTTCCGTTCACCAATGAGTTGAGGTCGTAGCATGAGGAAGGTAAAACACGTGCAGCACTCTGCTCTTCATTTAGGCGTTGTTACGTTCGGAACTGTCGGGCAAATTTTTTTTTGCACAGATACAGCTGACGCTAACGCGTGCTAATTTTCCGCCGTAATATTGCGAGTCGTAAATATACTATGCGTTAAATGTTCAGTGAAACCACGCGCCAAAACCTTTTTTGAAACGTTGAAAACCTAATGCAAGCATAATGAGAATATTTCCCATGCAATATTGTACGGCCTCGACTTATTTAGACTTGTAGATTGTAACTATTAGTGATAGTTTATTGGCACGAAATTTTTATACCCTTATAAAATTATATATTGGAAAATGTTCGATTATCTTTTCAGATTAGTCTTTTGTGCATGGTTTTCTTTGCATGTTTTTATGTGTATTCTAAATCCTTTTAACTGCAGCAATGATTTGAGTAATAAGTAAGTACTGAACGATTCACATAAAGACGCATTTTTTTATCGTGCGAAAATTATCATTAATAATAACAAATTCTAATGTATTATATATTATTATTTTTATGCATTCCTTTTTTTCTTTGTATATCCTAGATTATTATCTTGCTGATTTAAAATGATCTATGAACATTTTTACATATTAATCTATAATACTTCAATTTTAATTTATTATTGTACAAAAGTCACTGAGAGATTCGTTTATTTGATCATTTATAAATTAATTATGTCATAAGGTTGGAATCATCAAATAATTATTAAAATTATTAAATTTAAAGTCGTCGATTGTAATTAAAAATTTCTAAACAAGAAGTTCAATCACAAAAATGCGTTGCTTATATTGATTTATTTAATCGCAATATTTTTAAACTCGTAAAATCGATCAATTTTATATCCTAAATAGATTCGTCAATATTAAATAAATAATTAATATTTAACTGATAACTAATTAGTAAACTAACGGAAGGTTTCATCTAAATGAGATGTAGTATTCTCTAATCGAATTGATGTCAATGCAATTATGTTCTTTCTGTTATGATGTTTGTGGATGACACAAAACGTATCAATTATGTTAATTACAAATACGTGTTTATTATCCGCACTTGATTTTGAAAAGACAAATAATGCAAATCTTTTCTTTGATGATAACATAAAACTGGTAATATTTTAAGATATACAATAATATTGCATCATAAAAATTTACAACAATTTCATGTAGAAATATAAACACATGGAAAAAGAGAGTTTTGCTAATAAGTCATCTTTATTAATGTTTAATGGCCGTGTTAATAGTATTAGTTTCAAATCTATTATGATTGTTTAATTGTTTAAAATTTCACATGAGTAAAACAAGAATAGAAAGACGCCTTGCTTGTGTAAAATTTTAGGCCATGCAAAGCAAATAAATTTAATTAAAAGCACGATTTGATGTTTCCATACCGATTGCAACCTGTCTGCACTTAGTACAGATATATACGGAATATTTAAGCGTACGGTTTTTAACGTGTGTTACAGCTGCTCAGGCGACGATCCTGGGACCGGAAGACGTCTACGTGAAGAAGGGTAGCACGATAAGCCTCACGTGCGAAGTGAATGTGCGAAGTACACCTCCTAGTAGCGTTACTTGGTATCAAGGAGGAGCCGTGCTAGATTTTGACAGTCCCAGGTATAAACTGCAAGAATCGAGTTTTCAGCTTTACTCTTCTCAATCATCAGACAATGTTTTTAAAATGTTTTTTTAAATATTTATTTTTCATTAATTATACATTGTATGTTTTATTGTAAAAATAATATTTATTAAACGTTTAAGTATTCATTTTATATTCATTTGCTTGAAATAATAATAGACCAAACGTTTATTTAAAAAATATTTGTTTAAAAAATATTTGTTTTACAATAACTATTCATTTGAAATAATAATTTAGAAAAAAATATTTATTTAACGCTATTTAATATTTATATTATATTAATTATTCAATTAAAATAATAATTTGAAAACATTTTTTAAACATTTATTTAATATTATTTTGATATTTATTTTACATTAATTATTATTCGAGCAATATACGACATCATCGCTAAATGAATACTATGATTTGTAAGTAAAAATTACACAACGTAGAATAAAAAGCGCAACAATATAAGATTTCTCACTCATATATATTCTAATGAAATGCTACTGAAACGATACCTTTAAGGTGATTCCAAAATTGGGCTCTAGATGAAAGTAAATAAAATATTTTGACAGTTTGGTATCTTGCTGACGGCGATTGTTCAATCTTTCTTTTTGTCCCCAAAACTTATTCTTTATTCAAACGTTAAAAACAAACGTTTTTTTTAAACTTTAAAATAAAATATTTTTTAACCGTTAAAGAAATAGTTTCTTCAAATGTTAAAATAAACGTTTTTTTTTATTTGAAAAAAAGAATTTAATCTATTATTTTTATAAATGTTTTTCAAATGTTTTAAAAAATATTTTTAAAAACATTGTATGTTGATTGAGTCTTGCATCCCGCCCCCTCCCATGATTCTTTTTTCCTTCGTGTACATATGCATATACATGCACTTATATATAAACGTTTCTATTCGATCACAAATGTTATTGCTATCATCGCATAACTGGTGGAGATCTCGATGATGGTTCGTAAGTTCCTCCGTCTCGCTAAATGAGCAGGAAGGCTTCGATTGAGTTTTTCGGGTCGCTACTTTGCAGTATCGCCGATCGGGCGGAAAGTGTTGGAGTATCCCGCCTTTAATCTTTTCGTCAGCCCGTCAACTCGGGAAAGGATCGTCAAGAGTCGAAAAAGCAAATGACCCTTGATCTGGCAATTTTGTTCGGAATTAGTTCAGATAACGCTTCGTACGAAGAAATGTAAAAGTAGTTTCTTTCTACTTTTTCTTTCTAGCAAAATGTATCATTTACAATGTCAAAGCATAATATAATATTATATATTAAAAATGTTACATTTTTGCAATTCTTTTTAGCATACACTGTAAAAAAATTAATTATATGTAAAATTACAAAAATTATAGTGGTTAATTTTGAGACCAATTATTAAAAGTATGTGTTTATATACGTAAAGTCATTAATAAATACAATTATTCTTCTCTATAATAATTAATTTGCAAAAATAAATTATAGTTAAAATTAAATTTATAAAATTTTATTTATTGTACATATTAACTTGCGAACAAATTACAGTTTTTCTTGTGCTAAATTATTGATATATGAACGTAAAAATGGAAATATAGTATGTGTAATATATATTTATACATATTACATACATTATTATTATTGTTATATAATAGAAACTATAAAATATACTATTAATATTACGTATAATTTTTATTTTATATAGAAATTTTATTTATACAATTAAAAATAAAAATAATTAATTTTTATAAAAACACGGGGAATTTTAAATATTTCTATAAACCGTACATAATTTTTACATAATATAATTTTACATACTTTTTTACAATGTATACCGTACGTCATTTTTATGAATTATATCTGATGCGAATAAACTTTTTATGTACACATTTATTTGTGCACATTTATCAACGGACGTTTGACAACGTGCGATACGAACGAGTTCGCAATGCCATTTATGTTCCATACACGATTGAACTTTTTGCCGATGTTTCCGTAAACTGCGGCCCCTTCCCTGCAGAGAGAATTAATGACAAAGTAGCAATGTGTATGACGAGAATGGCGCCAAAGTATCTACGATAATTCAGTGTACACCGCAGGGGCGGCATTTCCCTGGAGACGGAGAAAACGGATACCGGGACGACAAGCAGACTACTGGTGACACAAGCCAGATTGACCGACAGCGGAAATTACACCTGCGTCCCTAGCAACGCGAATCCAGCGAGCGTAATGGTCCACGTGCTGAATGGTAAGCGAATTTCTATTTTCTTCTTTTTATGACATGAACTTATCCGGCAGCCCATCATCCCTCGCCTCGCGCGACATACCCGGCAACCCGGATATTCGGCGGATACTCAAAGCTGTCTTAATGACATATCGCGATGGAAACGTCTGAATATTCGCGGTTGAAATTTTCAGATAACCCAGTGGCACTGGATATCTTCATAGGTACCCAGGTAGACGCGATAATTTGTTAAATTTTCAACCAACCAGAGATTACGTAACGAATTTTCATTACTACAGCCACAAATGTGACGAATATAATAGTTATTTAGTTTTTTTGGATGTGATCTTATCTCATCAAATATATTTCCTAGTCAATGCTTTCGTAAAAGCAACAAAACAATATGATACGTATTACGTCGCGTTGACATTTGTACGAGAAACTGTAAGACGTTTAAATTGGGAGTTTATTGCTTTAAATATCAATTAATTTCTATTCCGCAAACACGATATGCCGCATACAAGCCAGACTCACTCGATAAACAAAGTCAGAAGTAAGTTCTTGACAGTTTACGCGTTCCAATGTACATACAATATAATTCGCTTATGAACTAACCGAATAACGAGAGAATACCAAACTGCAATATTTTATCCGTCGTATTACCTTAATATTATTGAACAGGTTGGCAATATCTCCTTTATTGCCGCAGAGCATTGTGAAGTTATTACTGGATAGAATCGAGAGTGGAATTAATGACTTTTTCATTTATTTGCATAAATTACTCAGCGTTTCTTGTGCAATGTAACTCAATATACCGTCTACTCGATATAGTTGGATTTTTCTCTTCTTCATACTTCCTTTTCTCTTTTCTTTACGTCGAGGAAGCACGCGCGAGTTGAGTCGGGTTGCTGCGTCATATGCACGCTCTTCGATAAACGTCGCGTGCATATACACATTCAAGAACTATTGCATGCGGAAAAATCTCCAAGTACTGGCGTATAAACATTTCCATGTCGGCATTCTTGTAATACCACATTTTCATGTCCACAACATCACGCGATTCGATCAAAGTTCACGGTTAACCGCTTATTTTCGATTAGAACGCAATCGGATTTACATGATATTCATTTTGGAGGAAAAATTCGCAATGTCTTTTTTTCTCCAGTTTTAAACAAGCTTATTCGATCGAATACACAATTACACATTAACTTGTGTATTTTACTATATCCAATGTTTTGATTTCATCTCGGATTTTATCGTGAAATATAAATAACAACATTGAAATGTATACATGAGTGCAAAAAGTATTACAACAGAGGAAATTTTTATTTAAAAAAGCCTTGAATGTAAAAAATAAATATTAAGGCGAACCTTAAAATCATAGTATATACCGTATATAAATATACCGATTAATTGTAGTATAAATAGGACTTACTTACACACAAACGATTTACATGCCACTGACACATCACTACATACTACATAAATATCTCTTACACACATATACATGTAAATTTTTATACTGTATAACAATAATGTTTTAATTAGATATCTAAGTCCAATTCTAAGAACTCCACGTTGCTTCTTCGTGCAAATTGATAGTCTGTGGACTACTATTTTGTAAATATAGACTGCATAGCTTTCATATGAAGCAAATGTCACGATGTGTCAGCTCTAAAATGTCATATTAGACTAAGAAATGGTAAAGATCTCAATTTTATACAATAAATATATTCCATCTTAATATAAACAAAAGAGTTTCTTTATCTTTGAAGATAAATTTCTTGTACAAATAGGTACTCTTTATGCGTTCAGATAATATTATTTTTTATTTTCGTGTGTTTCTTGATATTTCCAGAAGATAATATATCTTAATTGTTACACATTTCCGTAGGTAAAATAATTTTTAGAAATATACAGTCCATTTTATTCTTTGTTAATAAATTCTTAAATATTGTTTACTTTTCGTTTAAATATTATGATTTTTTTTTTAATATTTTAATCTTTCCTTTCTGTCATCTCAAGTATTTCATTATTGTAGACAGTTTTGCTTGAATTAACTTTAATATATCCTTAGCTGTAGTGTAGTGGTGGAATTTAGAAATTCAAAATGTCATCCTTTTCATTATCGCGCGATCCTTCCGGAGGAAATTTGTTCAACAAGGACAGCTTTCGAGAATAGCAAAATTTTCCAGGGAAATTGTGTTCGCACGACAAATTTCACATCAATAAACGTTCGCATATTCACAACGCAAGTTCGGCGACAGGAAGCCAGCGGCTCCTGAAGTGTGACATTCGAAAGGGACGGGCACGCGTTCATTCATCAAGTATCGAAATCCCCCGTCATAAAGTTTGACAGGCTCGTATATTGGAGTCGCAGCAAGTACTCGGCGCCGTGCCGCACGCATACTCTCGCTTTTGATCTATTGTCAGCCGGTAGCGCTCGCGATAACACATGTAATATCTTGTTCGGCAAGTTCACCAATCCAACCTGTCAATCATCACGAGCTCGCTGCCCCGGCACGCGTTTCGGGAAACTCGTGCTGCAGCTGCAACCATTCGAAATCAACATCTTTTGCGCTTCCTTTGTTGTAATCAAAATCGACATTTATAAATTGATTTCAATAAAATTAGCAGTGAGACCTTTCAATAAAGAATAAAGTATATGAACATAACAAATGTACGAAATAGTCAAATTAATGTCCAAATTTACGTAATGATATTTTTTATATGATTTTTTATACGATTAGAATTGATTGATTTTACATTTTTTTAATTCAATATTTAAAATATTTTATTTTTCAATAAAAATTTCAGCAAACTCTTTTACCTTGACTTTTAATTTAATACTGGGCTATAAAACGGTTAAAAAATTTTGAAAAAGTGTGTATTATTTCATAATACCATGATTACCAAAACGATTATGATTTACGATGTAAAAACTTATGATGAAAAATTGCAATCGTTTTAGTCGATTATATAGTCCATTATTATTCGAAAGACACTACATCATCATCACTTTATTTGTGTGACGTGATCTGCTCAATATTCAGTGAAAAAAATCTGCATCGATATTTTGTAACTTTCGTTTCGCTTCATTTCGACATCGATGCTGCACGCGTCGTGCCAACAACGCAATAAATTTACAATACGCTAGCCTCCCTTCAATCCCTGATTAAATTAATGTTTTTGAATTCATAGCATTCCACGTCGGCAAGCTACAAAAATCAACAAAACCTTCGGACAACCAGGCAACAAACCGTTTGCCGTGTATACCGCGCGCGTTTGCACGGCAATCGAATTGCAGAACTTAACAAGCTTTCTTCGACGGTTTCCACGGTTTCCACGGTTTCCACGCAGCTGTCCGCCCCCGCCACGGCCGTGGCGCACTTTCCACCCTTCGAACCATCGAGACATCGATCGCGCCCACTTTCGTCCGGAAACGCCCGGCGAACGCGCGCTCCGCTCGCAGAGTGGCCGCTTCCGGTGCCGGATGAAAATTAATGCGGCACAGTTCGTCTGCATAATTAATTTATAGGGCGCACCCGGTCGCCGCGGTCGGCACATTGGCCATCGACGTTATTTCAAACACAGCTGATTACTCTGCAAAATTGACCGCAAATTTCAATTATTTCTCGATAAACCTGTATGCGACCCGGGGGCTATCCGTTTTGGCACGTACTATCTGCGCATTAACGCAATTACGCACGTCGGCCATGCTTGGCCGTCGATATTTCGAGTGTCGAGCCGCGCCGGTATCATTTTTTGATAACGGACTATGTAAACGCGGCGTAACGGTAAACTCCGCTCGATGAGATTTTCAATTTGATCATAAATTGCAACCTTACCGAAGGGACCGGTTACCGCGTCGCGGAACCGTCGTTGTGCCATACACTGCCACCGGACCTGTGATTATCTTTATTGCCGCCGAATGTTACACGCGACACAACGATACCGCGCGCCGTCGCACACAGAACGCGAAATTGTTGTTTCCTCCCTTGAACGTGGTGCTCGCCGTAGTTGCTGTTATTGCCGAACAAAACGATATTTCACCCACGGTTCGTATCACGACACGCGTTCTACCCTTTGCTAGCGCGCCTTATACGTACACGTTAAACGCGTTATTCCTTTCTGTCATGACGTGAAACTTTATAGTAACATGTGAAAATTGCACAGACGATTTTATAAATCTATCGCGAACATACTGTGAGACTATGTGCAAAAGATGACGTAAACGAGGTTACTAAAAAAAATATGGGAAAACGTATTTCGATTTGTATTGAAAATCAACAATTTAAAAATTGATCGAGGAAACGACATTTGTAAGCAAATATATCAAAGTTAATGCTACTATATTAGCGAGAGATTTTACAGCTAGAAATAATAAATAAGAAAAGAATATATAGGTAACGTGGTCACAAATTATCGTCATTGAATATTGAAAATAAATATTATTATGCTATTTATGTCATATGTGTATTATAACATAAAATTCATTTCTTTTATTTTCTTTTAAAATATATCTTAAGTTGGATTACAATGATATATTTCTCTTATCACTGTATTATAATATGTAATTTTCTAGAAATTTTTAGAATTTGACATATAAGTTTGATTTATAAAAATTAAAAATATCTATTTCTTAAATTGGGTATAAATTTTCCTTTTTTTATTATGATTTGTGTTGTTATTGTATTATGTTATTGTATTTATAATCGTGTATCAATGTTAAATTTTTTACTTTTAAGTGGAAAGTGTTTAATATAAAGCATTTTATTGGCTCGATTGTTTCTCGTCTATAGGATCCAATTACTAGAGCGAAAGAGAGAGAGAGAGAGAGAGAGAGAGAGAGAGATTGTCATTAGGCTGGAAAGTTCCTGCTTAGCGTTTAACGTGTTACGAACGATTAACCTAGATTGTGAATCTAATTAGGGCTGCACAATTAAATTCCTGCGTTATGTAGCTACTCGAGATAATATTCAATGCGAAGAAACTGACGTGGTTTATAGATAACTGTAAAGTGCAATAGAATTTGCTTCAACTTCCGCGAATAATTTTCTATACATTACTTCTAACAACTATTAAATTGTATAATGATCTTACTAATTTTATTAATCGCAGAAAGATGAATATTAGAAATTACGTAAGATATTTAAGATTGACGAGATAATGTTTGAATCTGTTATTTCAAATAATTTTGCCTTATTATTTTGACATATATAAATAGAAAAGGATGAAATTATCGTGATTAAAAAGTATTCTTATTGTTAGTCCATTATTAAAAGAATTTAATATTGCGTTTTAGTAAATATCGATACTTAAATTGATACTTAAATTGATACTTAAATATATATTCAATGTTTAAAAAATTAAAGAGATTATTTAGTGAAGAATTGTTTTAACTTTGCTTATTAACATAATTTTCAAAAAGTATGATTCGTTTTGAAAATCTAATATAATTCAAATAAAATAATTAAAATAAAAAGAAACTCTCTGTGTTTAGATTTTTCTTTGCGTTGTTCTTCTAAGACATTTAATTATATTTAACATTTTTAAATATATTATACATATATTACATACATTTATTAAATCTAATGTATATTAACTCTCTCAATATACACACGATTTCATCCTTTAGTACACATAATTGGGTCGTTCATGACCTGGATTAATTTTCATCATTTTAACAAATATATATTAATTATTAAGTAACTCTATATATTTTAACATCTTTAAAAAGTATTTGAAAAATTGTGTATTTAAAAAAATTGTATATATAGAAACCCATTTAGTTGAATCAATTAATTTCTTATTTGGATATGGGCAAACAAATCCTTGGTTGATGCAATAAAATACTTTAGTTGAACTAAACTAAACCATTTGGTTATTGTAACATTTTACTTGTTTCTGATAAATAACTTTAACTCAGATATTAATGTTTATCAAAAACAAGTAAAATATTACAATAAAGGTTTTAGTTCAACTAAATTGTTTTATCCATATTCAAAATCCATATTCAAGAAATTAATTGATTTAACTAAATGAGTTTCTCAATGTATGAGATCCGTTCTAAAAGTATCCGACATCTGCAGTGTATATCTTTGTTCGTGAGCATTCTGTCTCTCCCTCTCTATTATCCGGATTTGAAAACGAAGGAACTAAAATCAATTTGCACATTTCTGTTGCAGGTGAACATCCGGCGGCTATGCAGCATGGTGGAAGCTGCGGCATGGCTCCGACCATTCTACTCGCCAGCATCACCCTCATAATTGCGAACCTGTTAAGGTGAGCAGCCGCGTCGTGAATCGCGCATCTTAAAAACAAAAAGAAAGAAAGTGAAACATGTCAAAAGTCAGGAGAGACAATGTCCAAAGTGAACGCAGCAATCGACGGTCGCGGAACGGTGCACGTTCGGAAAAATCGTCCGGTCGACCGCGATAGATCACTTTAGTTTACGCTTCGCTGTCACACGCTGCGTATATTCGTTCGTCGAGTGCTCGGAAGCCACGACAAGAGAATCACAGTATGGACCGAAGTGCAGTGGACCAAAGCTCTGTGAAGGACGCAGTGATGTGGCGGACGATCTTTAGCACGTACGTTTTTAACACGAAAATCTTTCACAGACTCTCCATTCTTTTGTATAAAATCGTGTTAAATGTATCATGGCAAAAATGCCGAATCAGTCTCAACATCCCTAGTAGTATGATTGAGTGTTCGCCAAAAGAACTTTCTTGCACTTGTGCTTTTTGTATAACTAAATCGGCATATTGTCCGTGCCTCAACGAATATACGTGAACTGTCTAACGATGAAACTGCTCATCTCGTCATTTCGTTGCGAGAACTCTATTAGAATTTGTATTTTAACTAATTTAATAATGGCCTCGTAGTATTCTACGTCAACCGATAGAACGACGCCGTATTTGGAAAGATCGGATTGATTGCATGATCTGTTACAACTGCCAATGCTTTCGAACAGAATATCGATGGCTGGATCCGTTCGATGGCTATGAAATAATTATTACACGAATCGGAATTTATAATCTAACAATTATTATCAACTAGTTGAGTAATAATTATCATTAATTAAGGCTCTTGTACATATGATAAAACGAGTAATGAGCAGGTAGAATTTGCCGTGACCTTGTACAGTACAATGTACGTGCGAAAATTGCCACGTGACCGATAATTGTTTCTCGTCCTTCGATCTGGGCAGTATTGTGTATATAGCTTATATCATTGGTTACGATATAATTGTATGGTACACATACAATCGTATATTTGCAAATATTCTAACTAAACCTTGTGCCTCGGGCACAATTCAGTATCTCGAACGTGCCAGATATTTTTTATATATTTCTTGAGTTATATACGCTATAATAATAACTTTGCCCAGATTTGATTTATTCAGTTTCTGTTAAATGTATAATGTTAATTAATAAGATTGCATAAGGGATTGATTGCTAAAGAGAGAATAATGCGATGATTGTTTCTCAAAAGACTGTGAGAATATCAATATCTTATTGCAAAAATTTTTTGCATCAAATTATAGGTAAAATCCAAATTTTATGATATCAACATTTATTATATGTTAATATTATGATAATCTATTGTTTACAAAATCAAAATTATTATTTACCAAACCGCAGTCTTTTAATATATGACAGAATTGTTTAAAGAGTTGAAAATTTATATTAAGAAATTTTTTGTTTATAACGTTAAAGTAAAATTTTAATCGAGTACTGTTATATAAGTGTAAATGTTTTTCTTGAATTTATGTTCCGAATAGGTATTTAATGTTATTAAACTTGTAAAAGCCTATTTTTTTCTTAGACAAGCATATTTGAAATACAAAAATATAATTTTTAGGAAAGAATTTTTGACTTATATATAGGAAAAGGTTGATATTGCATGGAAACGAAATTAATGTCTACATAAAACGTTATTTCATTTCAAAACAATTAATTTTAATATTTTATGTAAGTAATCGAGTAATTAGAAGGCACGAATGAACATTATAAACAAATTAATTTTTACTTTTCACAAAAAAAAATTTTTTTTAATTTTATATGTTAAAGGCTACAGTCCATTTAATGCTAGAAATGCTTCGAAACATTCTTTGATTAATCAGTTAGTAAAATTCTTTCTTCCAATTTAATCAAAAGTTTCGCAGCATTTGTAGCGTCAAATTGCACACAAAATATAATTATTTCCAATATCAGGAAAGAGTATTTATAATATACGAAGTTACACCACCAAAGAATGGAAAGGCAACCAGAAATAATCACTTTAGTAATAATAGTAGATAGATAGCCTCGATATGTTTCTGTTTGTTTATTGTAAACAGGATTTTTTAAACTAAATAATTCGTTACATCAACACATATGTGTCTTTAATCGTTCGATAATCAAAATGCAATTCATCGAAAGTAATGTTCCTTTTCCAAACTTATATGTCACTTTATTTCCAATTTATTTAAATTTTCTATGAGAATATCAAAGTAATTTTTTTGAAAATCAAAACGCATCAAAATTAATTCACCGATTAATCAAAATATAATCAAGTGGACATCAACGATTATGGATAACGGATGTTATATTAAAATGTAAAGCTCGTGTATAGATAAGTAAATATATGAAAAGATAATACGTAAATATATTTAAATAGGTCAATAATAAGCGTTCCCGTGCGTTATGTATCATGATAATAGCGCGGAAAATATAATTCAAAAGATCAAAATGTAATTATAAATAAAATAAAGGTTCCTTTGCAGAACTTAATTAAAAGTCGCCTTTTACTACAATAAATCACTTAACTTTCTATGAAATGTTGATAAATTATTGGTTATCACGATTATTTATTATTAAAGAATTATTTAATTATTTATTGGCTGTGGTCCATTTGATACTATAAATATTTCGAAGCGTAGATTTCTATTTCCTGATTGGTCAAATCGAACGCTTCAAAGTATTCGTGGACCGCAGCCTATATTATAAAATTTTTTAGATTATATGTGTGTGTCTTATACGATATTTAGTTTTATATTTTTTAAATAGGAAGTTAATAAAATTTTAAAATAAAAACAGAAATAAGATTTTTTGGGGAAAATAATAGATAACTTATTTAATTTCACACGTGAGTCAAATAATTCTGTACATAAGACATGATTTTGTTATTAAAATTTTATTTGTCCATTATTATTAAATTGTAAAGCGATCTTCCGATTTTTTAATATCAGATTCGATATTTCCATCAGATTCTATGAAAGATAAATACTTAAATTATTTGTCCTTCTATATATTTGATTGAATTGATTCAATCGTGATTATCTAATTAAGACAGTTCAGTATTTTAAATGATTTTTCTGATTAATTTCTTTCAAGCCGGTTTTTTCATAAAGAAAAAAAAATACAAGAAAAAAAACGAAATCCTAGATATGATTATTGAATAATTCAACGCACGTAATATAGAATATAGCAGTAAATCATTAGGTAATAGATTTATTACGTAATATAATATGATACGAGTAAAGAAATATATCATAATGATTAAAATGTTAAGATACGATTTATCTTAGAACTCATAGATTTTTTATAATGTTATAGCTCGAAAAACACAAATTAGGATCTATCCGCTGAAGATCATGAAACATTTCTAGATTTTACTCAGAATCGAGAGGAAATATCGCAATGCTTTCAATTTGTATATAATTTTTTACGTTATGATTTATATAAGTAAATCAGGTCATATATATTCCAGACGAAAATTGCGACTAATATAATGCAGAGAAAGAAAGACAGACAGAGAGAGAGAGAGAGAGAGAGAGAGAGAGAGAGAGAGAGAGAGAGAGAGAGAGAGAGAGAGAAAGAGAGAGAAAGGTTAGCGTAATTACACAAAACGTGATCAAAGTGCAAAGCGAAAAAATTGTTTTAGATTAAAGAATCACTTTCATTGAGCTACTGGTGTGTGTTAAATCAATGTATTTAATCAATTTCAGTTTGATAGAAAAAAAAGTTTATATTCCAACAATGCTTCGCGTTTTGGTGGTTTCCACCGTGATTTTTTTTTATAGCACGAACCGTGGCTCAATTATAAGATTTAAAAAATACATTCCTGTGCATATAACGTAAATCAAACAGAAAAATATCGAGACGATTATTTCTATTTGTAAACTAGATAATCAATATCCGCGATATTTGCATACTTACGGAATGTTGCACATTACATTAGGTAAGAGACTAGACTGCATTGTACATAAAATTCATAATCGATTATGTATCATGTTATGAGAGAACTTAAGCATGAATCAAAAAGACAGGATTAAAAGCGAAAAAGCGACATAGAATACTATATTGTAAAAATATTCATCGACGTGAATACTGTTTCAATAAATGTAATGATGATATAAAAAACACATAGATTCCTATTTCGCTCTTCCTGTTCGACAGTTTTTTATCAAGCGAGCGCGTACCTATTTTTTTTACATATTATAAATAAGACTTATACCTATCATATTATAAAATTTAAATCTTAATTTGATATTTTTATTCTGTTTAGTAGCCAATATTTTTAAAGCTGAAAAATTAATATTTAATTTTCTTATTAATTAGAAGGAAGATCGAATCTGAAAATTAATTTAAACTTCTATCTTAATGGAAGTATTTTTTTAAATTTTATATATTTTTTTTTAATAAAATAACTTTCTGAACTGTATGGATATGATATATTCTGTATTTAATTCAATCTTTATCGTTTTTATATCTGGATTAATATGCATTGATCAAAACTCTGTGCATAGCATTTTTACATATAATATACATAGAAATATTTACATATTTCAGTTTTTAATGAATACACACACCGCCTTTTTAATTAAGTATAAAAACGGTTGATTTTAATTGGTACGCGGTTCATATACCGATTTTTCTGTTATACATGCTGTACATTGCATGTATTTTATGCGTGGAAAATACTACGAGTAGACGATAAAAACGATATTCGTATACGTGCGTACTATTAACGTATAGAAAGAATCTTTTATTTATCATACATGGCTGCTTCGAAACTCGTTATAACAAAATTAACGAAATTGCGGAGACATTCATAACGAAGCCATCACTCACCCTTAATTTCTTTAATGGCACTAATAGACTAATTGCACGAAGCAAATTGCAATTTTAATGGAATATCACGAAATAAATTCAGGGAAATTAAAATGAAACGGCAAGCACTGTATTGCATTGAAATATTTAAACATTAATTTGCTGCGCGTAACTTCATGTAGCAATTTATACGAAAGAGTTATATTAAACATTTTGTTTAGAAAATAAATTAAAGGGATGTTCTCTCTTTTCTGCATTTATATCGCCTAATGTGCTTTTTTTCGTTTTCAAACGTTTTTTTCGTTTTACATTAATTACTTAAACGATAAAAAAAAACACTTACTTTTTTTATCGTCGTCATTTATCGTTAATTATTTGCATGTAATCGCGTTACTAAATTAAAAAAAAAAGGGTGATCGCTATATCCGTTATTTTTAACGGACGCGGTCGAAACGTGGAATCGCAATCACCGAGCGGCCATTGAGCGACTTCCGGGCAGTGAATTCGTGCATTGTCCCGCAGTTTTTCTTTCCCAGTGCACGTGTGCGATGTTTCGCGTCGGAATAACGGTAGATTGGGCAAAGAGGGAGAAAACTAAAACATAGTTAAACGCGATACGCACGAGGTAAGCTCCGGCCATCTACTACATGTACCCGCTGTTTCCAACTTCGTCACGCCGCCGTGACAATTAACGAACGTCGGGACGGGTCGGCGAACTGTCGCACAATCGTCGCCGATGCTGCCGATTGCGCCGGGAAAACGCGTCAAAACGAGACAGCATGAGAATTTCCGAAATCGAATAAACGGAACAACGACAGCCAGCTGGATCGACGGAAGCTGAAATTGGGGAAGAAGAGAAATACCGCTTGAATAAGCGTATCTTGGGGGAAAAAAAAAAAATCTGCGGTAGAGGCGAATATCCAATGCTCATCGTTATTTTTCTTCTTTTTTGCGTGCTATGTATACACGTATGGATGTAATGGATGACGCTGGAAATTGGACACGTGACAATGTATATGCGCAAGTGATTTTAAACGATGCATTAACTTTTTCATTCCAATAATTCCATGCGACATCACTTTTTTAATATCAATTTATTCGCGTATGATGTTATTTAATATACTGTTTCGGAGACCACAAAGATTTATTGAATTCCATCCATTCCAACAATGTTTATGAAATACCTTGCGTAATATGAGAATTGACGGAGAGTGGTTTTTTTTTTTTTTTTTTAGTTATTTTAGGTACCAGTTTTTAGTTAAAGTTTTAATATATTTCTCTCTGATGTAGAAGCAATATTTTACATCTTGCGTTTTTTATCGCCCGCATTTATAGTGTCCCATAAGCGCGCGCAAAAGCATCACATCACCATAACCCGCACATGTATAAACGGATTTTTGTGACAAAGACAAACTACCGTGGAAAGAGCCGGGACAACGTAACGGCGAACTCACGTTTCTTTT